GAGGGGCCCAGCACTCCAAGAAGGCCATTGGATTTCTTTTTGGAATTCAAGTCTAATGCTGTAGTTGAGGTAGTGTACAGTAGTGGGATGCCATACACAAAGTACAGTACAAACTGCTTGTAGAGTCTGTGGATTCTGTCATGGAACACACCGGGTTACGGTATATGCTTCCTTGCTCAGGTGCTGCCACCTCAGGATGAACCTGAGCTTGCGTGGCTGGTTACTGTGCCGGAGCATGTTTGGCAGGAGTTTACATCGAAGGAGAATGTAGAACGCCAAATCAATGACGATGGCCGATGGAGTTATCGGATTGGATTGACTGGCAAACATACCAGTGCTGACCCTGTTTATCTCATGGATTCAGATGCTTGGTCATGAGGCAAGAGTTTGTTCAGCTTGACAACCCTTTTACTGTGATTACTGTATAGCATACCGGTATACACCCGGAAAGATTAACATGGAAACTGACAATCCACCCTTGGAAGACTATATATATACAGTACTACTCTACAACCTAGTGGCTTTCAGGTTCTATGTTAAGCTTCCAGAGTGTATGACAGTACGGTAAGGGCCTGCAATCTTCAGTACCGTGTTGCCCAGGACTTTGCCTTCCAAGACAAGGCCGCCATTCAGTCTGCCATCTTCATGGCTGACTATCGAGACGCTGAAATTCAAACGCTTAAGGCGATGAAGGTCCCAATCCTCAAGATTGAAGCGCAGTCTCTGCAGATCAAATTCGCCCACAACATCAGAAAGCAGGGTCTGATGGACAAGATCCTCTTCCACCGCTGTACCCTGGCATCACTGTAACTCTTTTCACCCTAACATAGACAACAACGGCAGTGTTTACAGTACTGTACTTTACTATAGTTGGTTTTTGGACGGTGCCCAAATTTGGTGTATCGTTTACATGTTTACAGTACTGTAGTCACTGTTTGTCTTTTGTGCCATCGGTGCACTGTACAGCAGATTCAAGGTTCTGAGCAGTGTCAATCTGAAGTGAACCGTTTCAAGGAGGAATTTGGACATTTGTTTGAAGCAGCAAGCAGCGAGAAGCAGATTGCAAGCAAAGCAGAAGCCAAGACAAGCAAGAAGCCTGACAAAGCACATACACAAGCCAAAGCGAAAGCACAAGAGGCATCATCATCAGCCTCAATGAAGCCTAGCAAAGAGCATGCCACAACGACTAACATAGAATATTGACAAGACAAAGCATTAGCGCCGGTATTGTCATCTGCAACGGTTGAGCAGATGAAGGCTAACATAGCCAATGCGCTCAAAGCTTCAGGCATATCCAAACCCGAGCCTCCAGTGATCAAGTCTGAACCCTTTGTGCCAGTGAAGGTCAAGACGGAACCTGTTGAGTTGCCGGTGGTTGCATGCGCTGGGGGAGCTTCAGCTTCCAGTGGCCAAGCACCGTTACTGCCCAGCTCCAACAATGCGGTTGGTGGGGGTGGTGCCTTTGGGTCTGGTGGGACACAAGATGAGGCTGGCATTTTGACGCACCATTTTGTCCCACTGGCAGACACAGCGGAGCAGCCAGGTCAGCAGCAACAAAAGGACCTGTTTCTGGCGGCTGACCTTGTGATTCCTGGAATTGCTCTGAAAAAGATGAAGCAAGCCTTGACAGCTGCAAATGAAGCATCCAAGCACTTCTTTGGTGTCATGGCACCCGCCACTGGCAAGATGTACCGAAAAGAGAAGCCTAGTGTGCAAAAGCTTGTCGTTGCAAACATGCAGTTGCATGGGCAAGTTTTTTGGCAGCGAGTGGTCAAGCACTTTGCAGGGAATGAGCTCTCTGTGTTTCTTGTCCCTTCCAATTCAGAGATGCATCCAACGGCAGCAACTTGGCTTGCAAAACTATCAAGCAGCACAGCACACGAGCATACTAACATAGGACTTGCACAGTCTGATCAATACAGTAGAACCCCTGGACCTGCAGTAGAGGCTGATGATTACAAATGCTTCAGATCTACACTAACCAAGAACACAAACAAAACACCCACTGCTTTGCTTTCTCTTCTGAGGCACTAGAGCAAATGCCATTGAGCCTTCATCCAAGCAACAAGCAAGTGTATGTCATTGAGATTCCGTCGGATAGTTCACTTGGTAGAAGCGACGCTGACTTCTCGAACATCAACCATTGGCTTGTGGATATGGAGGGCAACCACCTATGCAATCCAATGGTGCAAGTTTTTGCCAACGGCAAGCTGGGTACTTTGAAAGGTGGTCTTTTGCACTTGTCAGATGCCCGGAGTGTTCTGTCAAAGGAGGATTTGTGTGATCTTGCCATGGAGGATACAAGCGTGAGGCTGACCAACAAAAGGACATTTGTTGCCAAAGGTTTACAGTAAGGTATACAGTACAGTAGGGGAGGGGAAAGTGCAGTATGTTTTGTATAATGTTGATACTAACTAATACTAACCTAGAACACAGTACAGTATTGTTTTTGTTGCAACACCATTTTGCGCACTACTGTACAGTACAGTACATGTCCCACGTTGCTTCGGTGTTCCATGTTAGTACGCTGCAGCAGAGCAGGAAATGTATGCAAGATGCTCAAGAAGTTGGTTCTATGAAACGGCATTGCTCGGATCAAAGTCTGGCGGATTCCGAGGAAGCCCTTTCGAAATTGCAAGAGAAAGAAAACGAGTTGACGCAGAAGCTTGCTCTCTTCAACCAAGTCCTTGCTCAAATGACAGCTCCAAACTCCAATCGGCCTGAGAAGTCTGAGGATGACACCTGGATCGATCACTTTAAGCTGCTTGTGGGAAGTGACATCCCAGAGGCTCCTGCGACCTTTCAAAACAGCTCTCTGTCCTACCAGGAGGTGCTCATTCGGCTTGCCCAGCACATAGGCTTTATCACCACCGCATTGCAGAAAGCAAAGAATGGTCACGCGCGAGCTGTTCAGAAGAAATTGATCAAAGAGAAGCACTTAGCGAAAAAAGAACAGAGACTCAAGAGGAAGGTTGAGGAAACTTTTGGAGAGAATGCTGAATTGGAGCGGAAGAAGATGAAATCCAAGTAACTTGGACTGATGTACAGTAGGTTACAGTAGGTACTGTATGTTTTCCTCAAAAGGTCAAAGTTCAAGGTCAAAAAATATATGTGTTTGTGTGCCATGTTAGGAGTCCAGTGTGTACGCTTTTTTTTGCCCACCAGAATTTCTTTCCACTGCAGGCAGCGGCGCAGACAACAGTACTTTGCCAAAAAGAAGTCCAAGGCCAAAGCAAAAACTTTGAAGCGTCGAGCGCGCCAGTACAAGACCATTGACAATGGCGAGTTCCCTCAACCTCTCAGAGCACCCCGCAGAGTCATCACTATTGAGAAGAAGCTCAGCGTATTGGACAGGTGGGAGGAATTGGTTGAGCAGAAGAAGAAAGCTCAAGAAGCTGCCCAAGAACCTCGACCAGTGGGTGTTCCCCGCGCCAAGGTGAAGGAATGGAAGGCAGCCGTCAAGGAGGCCAAGAAAAAAAGCAGATTGGCTCTGTTGAAAACAATCCGACATGAATTCCCAGACATTGTCGGTGGTTGCCAGCCTTTCAAGTGGAAGAAAACAGCAGAGCGAGAGGGGTGGAGGCATTTGCCACAGTTTATCCAGGCCAGATGTTCAGCCACAGCGAATGAATGGCGAAGTAGACTGAGTCTTGCGAAGAAAGGTAGGTCCATCGGTGGTGCTGTGCCTCATTGCATTCAGCGCGAATTGGATTTGCTGATCATGGAGCACTCATCGGGCATGTCAGGAGTGTCGGAGCGCAAAGAAATTGTGACAATGGAGCATGTTGCAGCCTGGCAATATCATTACTAAATTACAGTACCCCCTGCACACTAACATGGAACATGCACTCCCCACAGTACACGAGTCCCGCACTGTACTCCCAGTGTTTCACAAATAGGGCACCTCAGACTAACATACCACCCAGATCTTTTTTGATGATGTTAAACTTCGTGGGTGTGCAGTACATCCTGCAAAAAATACTGTACCTCAGACTTTTTGTTCCATGTTAGGGGTCCAGTGGTAGCTAAGGCAACGACGGTAAGCTCACTGGTCAAAGACTGGAATGAGAGTCTGGATGGCCGAGTGAACATGGTACAGGAGTGGAACAGGTCCATTGAGCAAGACTTCAATGATGGCAAGATCTCTGCCGAGGCTGCGCTAGCAGGATACGAGCCTGTCCCACAAAAGATACCCACCCCAACTACTGCATGGGTGCGATGGTGGAAGTCAACATGGGGGTGGAGTATGCTAACAAGAGCTGGAGAAGAGAGCACGTGGCTTCCATACGATCACCCAGACATGGAAGCCAGCAGGCGGCATACGGCTAGCTTGATTTCCGAGAAGGGGGTCCACAAGTATCTAATTTTGAATTATGATCAACTGTGGCGCAATTGTTGGCAAATGAGTCACTACAAGCTATGCTTTAAGCATCGCAGTGGAGCAGGAAAGCGGGTGCGTAAGCTGGCTGCAGGTATGCGTGAGGACAAGAAGATTCATTCTGTATGCGGCAGTCGCAGGAGCGTGACCGTTCTTTGCCTTTGATGTGATTGATACACTTTTTTAACCTATAGTACCATACAGTACAGTACCTGTTTTTTAACTTACCCAAACTAACCGCACAGCGCACCATGCACTACAGTAACATAGAACATGGTGGCCATACTTGACTGTTATTTTACATCTATCCCAAGACAGAACCAGGTTCTCACAACGTCATGGTCCGATGGCACGCCAGGGCCAATTGCCTTCTGTGTGGCTGAGGGTCACATAAGCAGCCAAGACATTGTGGACTACAATCTCAAGAACTATGGCCGGAGTATGGTGGTGACCTCCGGAGGATCCAGTCATTTCACGACAGGGGAGACAATGATGATCATGATGGAGCAATTGATATCGCCGGCTCTGAAATTGCAACGTGAACGGTGCCTCTCCGCAGTGTATGTACAGCACATTCCAGTCAATAGTGCAAACACTGCAAAACAATCCCCTGTATTGCACTTGTGATGTTCTATGTTAGCCTGGCCGTTTAACTCAGGCATGGCCTGAGCGATCAGGATCGCGCAGCACTGCTGTGTGATGCTTGGACTGGCAGCTTCTCAAAACATGGCGGACTTGACTTTCGAAGGACTTGTGTTTTCTGTAGCGGCACTTGTGTTTGTCATTCCATTGACCCAGGTCAATGTACTTTAACATGAAACACATTGTGCCCAGGAGCACTTGGTTCACATCGCATAACTGCGAACCGCCACGCCTCCAACCTGGTGGCTGGTCCACCCATGGCCAGCCTGTTGACTCCATGCACCAGAGCTTTCGACAGGAGATTCGCAAGGTGGATCTGGCATCAACAGGGCATGTATGCGATTTGCGCAACAGGGCACGCTGCTTGACTGTCTGAAAACCGAAATATGGACAAGACTTACAGTAGTGCTGCCGGGTGTTGACTGCTTTTACCATTTGTTCCTTGTCACTACATGTGCACCCAGGAAGATTACACTAACATGGAACCTAAACACTACTGGGTTGTAGAAGAAAATGATTCTGGGTGTACTGTATCCTGCCAAGGCTTTGAAGACCTGGACATAAAGGCATCGGGCCAGATTGCAGCTTCAGTCCAGAACATGCGCCGTGTGCTGGAACTCTCCCTTCAAGCTTGGAACTCGATTCCTATCCGAGTTTTTCAAGCAAGCTGGATAGTGACGGGGTACTTTGAGTCCAGTCACTTTCCACCAATCGATCAGACTCCTTCTGACATTGGTGCCGCTCAGAAGGTGCTGGATCCGGCTGGAGTGAGTGGAGGGTCTTTGCCAGGAACTCCTCAGTTTTGTCACAAATATGAGTGGCAAGTGCAGGACTGCTGAACCAAGTCTGTGTGTTCTATGTCAATGTGCTAGTCTGTTCCTGTTCTATGTTCTTTGTTCCTGCTGTGTTTTATGTTAATGTGTTCCATGTTCCTGTTCTCCTCTTTTCCATACTGTACAGCACTGTAATCCTGTGATTTCTCTCAACCACAGGATGAAGACACGCCAGATGAGTGGCATGGGCTGCCATACGAGATCGCTCATGCTATTGTGCGATGTGTCACAATGCATGGAAAGGCATTCTTGGACGCCAAGAGAGAACTTCATGCCCAAAAGCAAGTCGACCTCTCCGGAAAGAAGCCCAAAACCTTGAAGTTGAAATCGGCGTTTGAGGCGCTTCATGAATCAAACAAAGCGCTACTCCGTGATGAACCGAAGAACTGGCTGGGTGGCGACTTCCGAGTGGTTAAACACCCATGTGAAGGTTGCAGAGGATGGGAAACCACACCCCAAGAAGGAGAAAGGCAAACTGTGGATCCTAACCATCCACATCAAGATTGTCGGCCCCAACATTGACGTGCGTTTTAGTCCTTCTGATGGCAAGCCCTTCCGAGCTGTTCGATGCCTCTCTCTCGAAGGTGGAGCAGTGAATGCAAAGCTCACGTCCATAGTCTCAGGATACGAGCATTTGCTGACTGATGATGATGATGCAGAAGCTCATTTGATTTGAGACGCATCACCGGTGTTCTATGTTAGGGCAAGTTGGTTTTGTGCTCTCCACCAAAATTGGACAAGCATACAGTATACAATACAGCAGAGGAAATGTGTCACCGGTATTCTATGTTAGGAGTGTCAGGGTAGGTTCATACCCATCTACTGTCCCTAAAGCACATCGAAATTATAGCGTGCGCATTTCAATAATTTGGAGGTGAGAATTTGAAATAGTACAACTAAGGAAATTGACGAACAAGATGCTGGCTCCATCGACATGGAAGAACATGCCACACCAGATGCAGAAAGCGATGGTGCAGATAGCTTGCCTGGCGATGAAGCTGGCATTGAAGGACTGGGGATACTTACAGTACAGGACTGTTGTATAAAATGCTTTTGAGCTACTGGGTGTTCTATGTTAGGCTCCAAGCTTTGGTGGGACATATATGGACATATTCAATTGGAAGCGCATTTGACAGAGTAACATGAACCAATTCTCCAAACCCACAGACATGATTGGAGGACAAGAAGATGGTTACATGGCGGATCTGCAGATGGACCCTGCACCTTCAGTGGCTGCAGGTAAGGACAAACCAGAGAAAGTTTGGCAGTGCAAGAAGAATGGCAAGTACTCCTCGGCAACGGGCCACCATGGATCCGATACTTCCCCAATGCATGAGGCTACTGGATGGATGCCAGATGATCATGTTGATGAATCAATGCTGGTGACAGCTTGCGGTGCGGAGACCAAGAAGAAGGGTGCCTTTGAGATCAAGCACGTGCCTGCGACCTTTTTCACACGAGCAGCCTTTGTTGAGCTTGCTGCCAAAGACCTCGCAAAGGTCCCGCCAGGAGAAGGTTGGCAAATAGCCTACCACTCCCAGACGAAGCAATGGCATGCAAGGACCCCAAGTAAGCAGAATTATGCTCCTACTTGGGGCATGAGGCGCTCCGAGCTTAAAGCTCTGTGTTTGGCTCTGCAGCAGCTATGGGATTGGTACATCAATAGTGACCCTCCAGACAGAACGGAGGCTGATGCGCATCTTGCCCGGTTGGTCGAATTCACCGACTCAATCGAGTTTTGACCATTAACATGGATGGGGAAGAGAAACAAAACAGCAGCAACAAGGTCTATGTTAGGAGCGTTCTCTGTTGATTTTGACCATGAAGACGGGTTGGCAGAAGAACCACAACAGCAGCCACAAGTTCCATGTTAGGAGTAATTCCGGTTGATGGTCAATGATGTCTCTAGGAGATACCTGGGTGGATCCGTCTCCAGAGAACAATCTGGAATTTTCAGAATTCAGTTGCTAGTTTGGTCCTGACCTTAGACCAAAATGGTCGCCTGAGTGTTGTGTTCTAGGTTAAGGCTCTAGTTGTCCTTTGGTTCATTTAAGCACTGCAGTAAACTACAGTACAGTATGTTACTTTTCCTTGGACTCAGGGCAAGGTTTCAGTTGACAGCTAAGCTAATGTCCACTTGGTGGCTGATCATTGCAAAAAAGATCATCACATAGTATGAACCATCAGCCACCAGAACGAAGAGAACAAAGACATACAGAATTCCGGGAAAGGAAAAAGGCCAGCCGATCATTGTTCATGTGGCATGTTAGTGTGAGGTGCGCTATTTATGAAACAGTCCTGGGAGCGGGCCATGTTAGTGTGGACACACTGAGATTGGCAGGTGCATGTGTGGTATGTTAGCGTGAGGTGCCCTATTTGTGAAACAGCCCTGAGAGCGGGCCATGTTAGTGTGGATACACTGGGGGAAACATGCTTGGAGAATTTTCCCAGGTGTGGAGACTAACATGGATCATTTCCAGATACTGGATTCCCTAGATCTTGGCTACTTCTGACGTATTCCATGTTAGCATCTATTAGCATGTCAAGGGTGCTGCATTTCTAGTGCACCAATCTTCATTCCGGCCTTGTAGTGTTCTACGTTAGTCTCCGGAATCACCTTTTCCTCTCATACCGGTGCTTTCTATATTCCCCGGGACTTCTAACGAGCAGGTGGGCCATGTTAATGAGCACTGAGAGTTGGAGCCACGTTCCATGATAAACTTCGCCGGAGTATCTAGAAGCCGCACTTCGATACGAGTCGCAGCAAAGGATCTGGTCTGAGCTCAATGGCCAGCCGATTGCAGCTCTTGGTGACCAGAAGGGATAGTTTGTCCCTAAAGGCAAGAAAGGGAAAGGCAAGGAGAAGAAAGGGGGTAAAGATGGAAAGACCCAAGAAAGTCTCGAAAAAGGAAAAGGAATTGGAAATGGCAGTGAGTCAAGGACATGTTTCCAATGCAATCAACGAGGACACCTTGCTGCCGATTGTCCCAACAAGAGTCCATTCAAGTCAAAAGGTGATTCTAATTCCAAAGGGTCAAACAAGAGTGATGGAAAGGGCAAGAAAGGATTTGAGAAAGGAAAGAAGGGAAGTCCATCTGACAAAGGAAAGTCAAAGGGAGGAAAACCAAAGGGACAAAGAGCAACTGAATTCCAGCAGCAACCAGAGTCGGAGGTAGGGAGTGAATGGTCTGAGCCGGATGTTGAAGATGGAGGTCGTTTGTCTCCCTTCAATGAACAGGATGTAGCTCAACCATTCTTCATTTGTCAGAACATGCAGTCCGCAGATCCCTACCTGTGGTTGGTTGATTCCGGTGCTAGCCGAACCGTCGTGTCCCTCGATTCCCTGTCAGCATACAAAGTCCTTCGTGAACGCACATTGGCAACTCCCATCCAGTTTCGAACTGCCTCAGGGGAACAGGTTCAGATTGATCACGAATGTATGCTCGAAGTTAGTTTTCCAACAACCATTGAACATGATGAATGTGATCGCAACAAGTTGGTCAAGTATGAGATTCGAGCAGTCGTCGGTCCAGTCGAACACAACCTCCTTAGCGTTTGCAGTTTGACCAAGCTCGGTGCGACATTCGTGTTTGGACCAGATCAGTGCCATATCCGCGTCAGTGACATCAGGCGCCTGGATTGCGAAATCTGGGCAAATGTACCTTGGATCCGAGCACAGCAGCGCAAGCCTCGTGGACGAGATCAGGATATGGAAATGAAAGGTAAACTGACCATGGACACCTGGACCAGTGAAGATTTGGACGACTATGAAAGCAGGAAACGAGCACTTTCGGCATGGTTCAACAATAAACCATTATCTGAAACAGCAAAAGATGAAGGCTCAGATGGTCAAACACCATCTAGTTCGCATGGCAAGAGCCCGAAGGTGTCATTTTTCGTTTCTGCCACTCAGTCAAAGGGGTCCATGAGTCAAGGTATGTCTTCAGGTCATGTGAAAGTTTTGAAGTTTGAAGACCGCCCTGAGATCAAGACGTTCGAGGTTGAGCCGAAAGCCAATAGAATTGAGCCCAATCACCGTGTTACCAGTCAAGATCATGGCTTTCTCAACGCTGCTGACCATCCATTGCCCCCACCAGGTGATCTTGAAGATGCCATTGAGCGTCCACACGATGGTAAAGAGCCTTGTCCTCCGAGCGAAGTCACCAGGTATCCAGAATTCTCAAAGAAGGTGGATCGTGAACTGTCGTTGCACCGCCGACGTGGACACATTCCATTCGACAGCCGTTGTGTTCATTGCATCAAAAGTAGATCCACTTTGCATCATGGACGAGTAAGTAAGTCAAGCAGCACACCCGTCGATCATCACATGATGTTGATTCAAGCAGACTTTTTCTTTTTAGAAGGAAATAAGTTCATTTTGCTCGTCGATGCCGGAACCGGATTGCTTGGAATTAGTTTGTGCGGTCCCAACCAAGACCAAACGCTAGCCGATTGCCGCCAGTACTTCCGACAGCTTGGTGTTTCGGATCAGTCATCCCAAACCGTTGAAGTGTTGACCGACAGCGAAGCCTTGATCGGACAGCTGTTGAGACGACTTGGTCTACCACTTCAGGTAAAGTCTGCCGCACCTCAAGCTCACGAAAGCATCGGACTTGCAGAGAGGAACGTGCGGAGGGTGAAGGAAATGACGGGGTGTCTTAGGAGTGATCTTCGTCTGCATGGGGTTGACATCACTGGAACACCAGAGAGCTTTAGTCGATTGGTTCAGTATGTCACTCAAACGCACAACCACTTTGGTGTTGGAGGTTCGGTAGGGCAGTCAGCAGGACTTGAAAATCGTCGGACGCCACTCGAGTTGGTGTTGAACAAAGATAGATCTAAGCCAGTATCAACCATATTCGGAAGCGTCTGCCACGCCCAAGTTCCCGATTCGTTGATCGAGTTGATACCCGAAAAGACAAGATTCATTCCAGCAGCATACATGCATGTGAAGCCTAACAGTTTGGCGCATGTAGTGTCAAGTTGCATCCAGGGATCTGAGAAGGTGTATCAGGCAGAGATAAAGCCCTTATCGGAGATCCTCTGGGACTGTTCACTTGCACCCAACATCCTCACGGAGGTTAGTAAGCCTGATCTACCACCATCACTGGAAGATCCCGAGAAGGCTGTCAGGCCGTTGGACGACAAGGTAGGGGTCGATGAGCCACTTCCTTCGAATGGTCCACCACGCAGTTGGGTAAGAGAGCATGGAGCCACTCCCCAATGTGGCGCTTGTCAGTCACGACATGGTCGAAAACACACAGCAGCTTGTTGCCGCCGATACCGAGAGTGGGTCATGTCCGAGCGAAATGCATTAGCCGAGAAACATCCTAAACCCGATGATCACAAAGAGTCTCAAGATGTTTCCAAATCAAGTGAGTCCAAGCCAGATGTCATTGAACCAGCACATCCGACAGGCCGCCTTCGCTATCACCAGAAGGGACCACCTGTGAATCCGAGTGAAGCGCCTGCCGACGCGACCGATTGTCCGATTGAATCAGGTGACATGGAATACACTCCGTCAGAACCGCCACAAGCTGGTGATGTCGACATGATTGATGATCAAGATTTGCCTGTGCCACCTGATCCAAGCGAAATGCCGATGGACATTTCTCAGCTCATTGAGAGATTGTCTGAGCCGCCTGAAATGCTGTATCGTCGGCCGTTCACTGGGAA